AACCACGAGAAAGAACACACACACATACACACACACACACAAGAAAAAAAGAGAGAGCAAATAATATGCTTTGATCTGCATTCAGACTCCATAGTTCTTTTTCTGGATGTGCACAGCATTTTCCATCATGGGTCCTTTGAGTTGTCTTGGATCCTTGCATTGCTAAGAAGAGATGAGTTTAACGATGGTTAGCCATTGCACAACGTATCTGTTACTGTGTACAATGTTTTCCTAGTTCTGTTCACTTCACTCAACATCAGTTCATACAAGTCTTTCCAGGTTTTTCTGAAGTCTGCCTGCTCATCATTTCTTATAGCACAATAGTATTCCATTACATTCATATACCACAACTTGTTCAGCCATTCCCCAATTGATGGGAATCTCCTCATTTTCCAATTCTTTACCACCACAGAAAGAGCTGCTAGAAATATTTTTGTACATGTGGGTCCCTTTCCCATTTTTATGATCTCTTTGAGATACAGACCTAGAAGTGGTATTGCTGGGTCAAAGGGTATGCACATTTTTATAGCCCTTTGGGCAGAATTCCAAATTGCTCTCCAGAATGGTTGGATCAGTTCACAACTCCACAACAGTGCATTAGTATTCCAATTTTCCTACATCTTATCCAGCATTTACAATTTTCCTTTTTTTGTCATGTTTCCACTAACATTTCTACTCTCTCTCTAACCTTCATTCTTTCCCTATCTATTGGCTCCTTCAATGGTGCCTACAAACAAGCCCATGTTTCTCTCATCCTTAGAAAACGCTTGCTTGATCAAATAAGGGTCTACTCAGTGCAAGCATTTTACCAAATTACTTGTGCCATACTCCTTGTGCCAAAACTTTCTTGTCTGGCTCCTGTTCCCTTATTTATATTGTAACTCTATTACAATGTAAGCTCATAATGTAACTTGATTAGAATGTAACAGCAGGTAGAGCAGAATCTCCAGATTTTTCTTACAGGACTTGTATATGCCAATTCATATCATAATTGTCATCACCATTATCATCAATAGTGAGCATTTATTGAGGAGTAGAAGTAGGCCTTGGGGATTTAAAAAGGCATATCGATAGCACACAGTTTCTGTTGTTGTGGGAATAACAAAATCTAGTTGGGGAGATGGGGAATGTCTACAATATATGGTAGTATATATCAAGTGCAAGGTGAGTGGTACAGATAATAACTATTTGAGGAATTCAGAGGAAGAAATGATAAGTGGTGCCCGGGGCAGTCGAAAAGTCTCCAAAGAAAAGCTGGTATGTAAGTGGGGCCTTGAAGGATGGATAGGACTAAGAAAGGTAGGGTGACAGTGGTTAAATAAATGGCTAGAGCCTAGAAGCCTAAATGTATTGCAAGTATTTAGTGAGTTGTGTTCTCAGCTCCATGCTAGTTTGGAAGGATTTAGGAGATGTATTGCATTGAACACTTGTTCTGGAGTCAGGAAGATGTGAGTGAATTCCTCACTGAGGGTCACACAGCTAGTGTGTACAACTTTATTTTCTCAGGCTTAGTTTCCCAATATGTAAAATGGGCATAATAATAACACCTACCTCAAAGGATTATTGTAAGGGTCAAATGAAATAATATATGTAAACTACTTTGCAAACTTAAAAGTGGTATATAAATGTCAGTTATTATCATTATTAATAATATTAGAAATGCAACAAAGTATAAGACATTCTTTTGGGCATTGTGCAAGTATTCAGAATACAAAGAAAGGCAAAAAAAAGACTCTAAAGAAACTCATTGTTCAATATAGGAGATAACAAGTAAATAACTATGTATAGATAAGATATATATAGGTTAAATTGGGGATCATCAACAGAGGGAAGGTGCTAACATTAAGGTGGATCAGGAAAGGCTTCTTGTAGGAGGTAGAATTTTAGTTGGGATGTGAAGTAGGCAAGTGAAGGATGAGAAATCAGGCAACAGAGATAAGGAGGAAGAGAATTCCAGATGTCAGGGGATAGACTTAAGTTTGAATAATGCAGATTAAACATAAAAGTGTGTATGCATACATTTCCTCCCACCCCCCAAGAAAGATGGGTTGCTAAACATTTACCCCCACATTCCTGTATTGCTCTAAAAACATTGCTTGAGCTCAGGAGCATGGTAGGAGGCTCAAGGAATCATCACTAGACTAGAGGCCTGGAGACTGTAGGCTAATAATAATAGTTGGCATTTATATAATGCTTTCAGGTTTGAAAAATGCTTTACATCCATTATCTTATTTGAGCCTTACAATACCTGGGAGTATATAAAGACTGGAAAAGTATGAGAGGGTCAGGTTTTGAAGGGCTTTGAATGCCAAAGACAATTTTCTATTTCATCCTAGAGGTGACAGCCATTGGAATTTATTAAGCAGGGGAGGGGTAACATGGTCACACCTGTGTTTTATGAAGATCAGTTTGACAGCTGAGTGGAGGATGGACTGGAGTGGGGAGAAACTTGAGGCGGGGAGACCAACCAGCAGGTCATTGCAATATCACAGGCTTGAGGAGAGGATGGTATTTACCAGGATGGTAGCAGTGTCAAGGGAGACAAGGAGGCATGTATGAGAGATGTTGTAAGGACAGAATTGACAAGACTGGACAACAGATTGGATATGGGATGATGAGAGGGAACAAGGAGTTGAGGATGATACCTTTTGAGCCTGGGTGACTGGGAGAATGGTGGTGCCCCCAAGAGTAACAGGAAAATGAGTTTAGGTGTAGAGATGATATATAATAATAGCCAGAGATGGAACTAGCACAGGGTGATTGGGCTTGTGTTCCAGATGCCACTGTCCCATGCAATACTTCCTCATGGCTCTGTTAAAGGACCCTTTTTGGGGCTGCTAGGTGACGTGGTAGATAGAGCACTGACCCTGAAATCAGGAGGACCTGAGTTCAAATCTGGCCTCAGACCAAACACTTGACACTTACTAGCTGTGTGACCTTGGGCAAGTCACTTAACCCCAAATTGCCTGCCAAACCTCCCCCCCCCCAAAAGGACCCTTTTTCATCAGGATAAGATAGACTGTACACCCCACCAAACTCCATCGAGAACTGATGATTCACCCAGGATAAGCTGCCTGACCTGGGGACCTCAAGCCAGACTCACAGATTAGTGTGAGATCAGTGTGGAAGGTGGTTTGCTTTTGACCTCACTGAGCCCCTGCCACCTGAGTATATTCAACTTTTGGCTCTCCCTCATAACCATCTTCTGCTCTCCCTTCATTCCTTCAACAAATATTGATTAAGCAACTACTATGTGTTAGACATCAGGAAAATAAAGACAAAGATTAATCAGGGGTCCCTTAGGTGCTTACATTCTAGGGGAGGGGGGATGGGAAACATGTACATAAAAAATTAAATGCAAAAAAATCCTAAGTTAATTTTTGGGGGGAGGGCTCTAGCAACTGTGGTGTCAGGAAAGCTTTCTTTAGGAAGTAACACGAGCTGATTTTTGAGGAAATCTAGAGATTGATTCTACAGAATTGTAGTGAGCATAGAGTGCTTTCTAATTAAGGAGGACAGACAGTCTTTGCAAAGAGCAGAAATGGAAGGTGGTATCTTGGGGATGGTGAGCATTCCAGCTTGGTGAGAACTTGGAGGGGTAGAATGCTTGATGAAGAGGGAGAGTGACCTTCTATTTTGCAGCAGTGGAAAAATCACTGGATTTAGATGGAGGATCTCAGTTTGAATCCTGCCTTTGCCACTCCCTGCTTGTGACCCCTCTGGCACATTTCAACCTTCTGGGCCTTGGTATTCTCATCTTTAAAGTGCGGGAGGTAGATAGAGTAGGTAACCTCTGAGGTCCCTTCCAGATCCAAATTAATGACACCAGATTGATTTTTCTCAGACATCTTCCTTCTTCTGCAACTTAGCCTTCCCCTGAAGACTCTTGGCATTCTCTCCAGGGCTGGCTTGCTCTCTTCATCACAACTCCTTAATGCTCAGGACCAGGAGGAGGAGTTAGCATACTTCTTCCCCCTTCCCCTGTCTCTCTCACACCCTCCCTCTTTCTCCATCACTCAGCAAACACCTTTCAAACTTTAAAATTTATTCCAGTCTGTACAGATCCTTATTGCTGTCCTTTATGGATCTCCAGGACACTCTTCCTCTTTCCCAGTAAGTTCAATATCTAGCTCATGGTCAACTCCATGACCCTTGCCTCCCAATTCTCCAGCCTCCTCTGTTACTTCTGTTCTAGTTTATCACAACCTGATATGAGTTAACTTACCTTAGAATATTTCTCACCCCCAACACCCACCCACCCACCTCATAGCTTCCATCTCTCCCAACTGAATTTACCCCAGGTGCTAGAATTTCTAGTTAGGAATATAACAGTAGATGGCTTTTACTAACTGCTTTATGATTGCAAATCACTTTACTGACATCTTATTTGATATATCCCTGAGAACTGTGGAGCAGCAAGTCATATTATCCTTACTTTACCGGTGAGGAAATTTGGTCTCAAAAATGGGTTTCTCCATTTGTAAGTGCCTTGCTCAAGGTCACAAATGAAGGAGTTGGTATGCACACCCAAGCTTTAGAATTCCAAGTTCAAGTGTATTTTCCATTGGATCGTGCTACAGGCTTTGCTTTTAAGGAAATTGCAATTAACGGTGAGGCTAAGATAAATACAAAGGCAGTTGCGATCGGAGGTGTTCCCGTGCTGTACCTCACAGACTAATTGGTGAGAATCAGGAACAAAGTTCGTGGCCGGGAGGGTGCTGGGAGGAGTGAGAGATCACAGCCTGGCAGCATGGTGGGGGAGGGGCGCTGGAATGGGGCAATGAAGGAAAGGTGAGGAAGACCCATTCTCAAAGTCCGGTAAGGAGAATCATTTTAGGTAACGGGAAAACTGAGGAGAGACAGGGTAGAGGTTGGACCAGGGCAGAGAGGAAGGGCACCTGAATGCAAGAAGCATTGGTTTTGGAGTCTGAACTCCGTTCTAGTCCTGGCTAGATGTCACCTTAAACAAAGCACTTGAGCTGGGGCCTCAGTTTCCTCACCTGTAAAATGGGGATGATAACATTTGCATCTTCATTTTCAAAGGGCCGTGAGGAAAGCACTTTGCAAATGAGTTTGTGGCAGTGTTGGAGCGCGAATCCCGGGTACACGGCAGCTTCCAGTGCCACTGAAGCCAAATCCAACCCCCAATGCCTCAGTCTCCCCATCTGTTAAATAAGAGATAGATCAACTCTTTCTTTTTCTTACTCCCCGCACTACCTAAAGGGGGTTTGGAGGTAGAAAAGAGGTCCCAATTGTTGGTCTCCCTCCACACCAAGTCCTCCTCCCACTTTGGCTTTGGCCTTTTGTACCGGCCTCACGTGACCCTCTAAGCGGCTGTTTCCCCCCCCCCGCCACGCCCCGCCCTCTGGCCCTTCCCCCTGCAAGGCGCCTTCGCCCTCCCGGCTCTTCCGGCTCCCCGGCCTCTCCCCCCCCCTCTGGCGCTCACCCTTCCTCCCTCCTCCCCCTCCGCCGCCTTTCCGGCTCTTCCCACTTTCTACCCCCGCCCCCCGTCCCCTCCACGACCGCCGTTCCCTCGCGACCACCCCCCTCCCCCCGCGGCTGTTCCGCCGCCCCGCCTCCCCTCCCCCCGCCCCAAGCTCACTGTCTCCAAGATGGCGGCCGTGTCAGTTTGGGGCATCTCCGCCGTCCGGCCCGGGGCCCCGGGATCCAGGCTCTCCACCGCCTCGGTAAGTAGCTGTGGAGCCACCCGGTGCCGCCTCCCGCCGCCGAGTCCGCGGCTGAACCGCCTCGGGAGCCACCTGGCCGCTCCTCGGGGTCCGCGGGCGGCTGCAGGCCCCGCCGCGGCCTGCGCCGCCTCCCGCTGCTCTGCGCCAGGCCTCGGGCCGGGGCGCCACGGCCGCCCCCTCGCGCCGAGCCGGCGTCCGGCTTCTCCGCGCGCCGGGCTGCTTGCGCCTGGCCCAGGCCCCAGCCCCGGCCCCGCGCTCTCCGGGCCTTCCGCCCTGCCACCCGCCGACCGGGCCCGGGTCCCGGGTCCCGGCCCCAGGCCCGGGGGAAAGGAGCGAGCGGGCGAGCGAGCTGGCTGGCGGGCGGGCGGCGCAGGCCTTGGAGCCGCAGGCTGGGCTGGGCTACCCCGGGGATCCCGCTTCGCCGTCCCTGCCTCCTCCTCCTCTCACCTGCCGCCAGCCGCCAGCCGCCTCAGCCCCGGGCTCCCCTGTCCGCGGCCCGGCGGCCGGCGGCCGGCGCCGCTGGGATTGTCTGGGGACGGGGGCCCGGCTGCGGGGGGCGGGTGACAGGCGGGCGGGTGTTGTGGTGCGGAGGAGGCAGCACGTGTGTTGTGGTGTCTGTCGGGCTGTCAGTCCCAGTCCGGGCGGGCGGCGGGGGCGGCGGGCCGGAGTTGCCTGTCAACGCGGAGCTCGGGCTCCGAGGGGAACTGTCCGACCTGTCAGACCCTCCCGGAAGCCTGGGCATGCCCTGCCCCGAGAGGCGCTGCCAGGCTCCCAGGCGGGCGCGGGCATCGGGAGCTCCGGAGGTGTTGGGAATGGGAGATGCTGCTCCACGTGATTTCATTGTTAACTTACTCCTCTGTTTCTGTTTTGACCTGATGGGAAGGGCGAAAGGACTCGTTAGCAAGTAGCAGGGCTTGCCATTTAAAGTTTGTAAAGTTGTCCTTCCCTCTTTCTTTAAACGGTGGGGGTTAGCGGGGAGGGACTTGGAGTGGTGATGCTCATCCAGGTGAAGTGCTGTACTTTCAGATGTGTGGGCATCAAGTTTTGAGACACTCTGCATCCAGAAAGCATGGAAAGAAAACTCTTATTGGAAGATCCGAGTAGTTGTCATTTGCTTACCTGCATGGTTGATTAGCTGGTCACTTCTCAGTTTCTTAAAATCAATCAGAAGCTTTTTTATGTTAGCCCTAACATATACATAATCACATTTACTGGACTGATCCTGTAATTTTTTTTTTTTTTTGGCCTCACTGAAATGAGAAGCATCTGTCTCTCAGCCAAAAAAATAATGTTAGTCGATTCAGGAGAATTGAATACTTTTCTTTTTATATGTATGTCAGTACTTTATCTTTTGGAGGTAATCATTTATCCCCTTTTGACTTTAACATCATAATTAAGAATATTTGCTGAAGACCCATTTTTTTTCTGTTTATATTTACAGTGTAATTTCTAAGTGCTTGATGAGACACTAAAGTAATACTAGTACTTTAAGCCTTAGCTTTAAGTAAAGCATTTTTTTTTAGAGGATGCCAATTTAGATTTAAGATGTATTTTTTTTTTTTTACAATTTCCAGAATGATGTAGAGTTCGTCTCACTAGTGGTAATATTATCATGTTTTTGTCTGTTAGTCTAAGGCATGTTCCTGTCTGGACAGCAGCCTGGGAGTCTTGTAGTCATATTTGTGTGACTTCTCTCTCCCTTATTATAAAACCAGTCATTAATTTTTTTCTGTGCTCAATGGTTGACATGGAGGTTATTTCCCATCCTTATCACTGACCTTTCTTTGATCCTGGACAAATCACTTATCATCTCTGAATTTTACCTGCAGACTGGGTGATAATATTTCCCTTTTGACAGCTATTAGGTCATGTCTAGCTGATGGTTCATAGTTTCTGAGTTTTTATAGCAGTTCAGAATAAAATTATTCCTTGTAAAGTATTTTAAGCATCCAGAAGTGCTAAAAAAGAGTTTCTTGTTTTGGCTTTTATTACTTTAGCTGAGTTGTATTCAGTGTTTTTGTTGCTTCCATGTAGGACACATAATAACATACTTGAAACAAGATTTGTACTTGTTATGTGTAAATCATATTTCCTGTTTCTTCTAATGTGTGAAGTAGTAAAGTTTTTTAAAGTTTGATTATGTGTTGATTGAGTGATTTGACCAGTCTAAAAATTCTGCAATTTTTTTGGAGATAGAAGATTCACTTTTGATTTCATTGCAGGATTCTTTCCACTAAATCTGTCCATTTGCTGAAGTATCGAATGTTTTCTTGGGGGAAGATATCACGGAGCAGCTCAGTTGCAATTCACAGACTGGTGAGCAAGGGTTGTAGAAGATAGCATGCTGGCATCCCTCACAGAACCCTGAAGTCAATGATTGTTTCCAAACTGTGATTGCCTTTTTGTGCCTGTACAGGATTGATTTGAAACATTTTTACTACAAGCATCTTATATCTCTCATAGTGTATCAACACTGTGCCAGGCACATAGGTGCTTATTAAATACTCGATACCTCTATGTTTACATATATTTGTGTATTTTTTGGTAGACTGATAGGAAACTGACATTTTGATTTTCTTTCAGGTGTAAGGTACACATTTTTCTTATGTGAGTCTGGACGTCAAAAGGAGCTGTGAAATGATTTGATTTCTTATACCTTTTGAGGAAAACCTATCTCTGCAGTGCTCTTTAGGAATCTATTGGGAAGTATGCAGACTTTTCAAACGTTAGATTGGTTTGGTTTTTAAATTAGAAGCTGGAAAAGTGTTCTTGTTTGTGAAAGGAGGAGGGATTCAGGCCAGAAAACTGTATGCTATGGTTAACTGGTTTCCAGCCTCCGAGAATCTTTTTTTCCATGGTGTGAAACACATTCAGCATCAGGATAAGGGATAACGACTCTATGGATATACGGAATTCTTCACCATGGTAAAACTCGCTAACCCGCTGTATACGGAGTGGATTTTGGAGGCGATCAAAAAAGTGAAGAAGCAAAAACAGCGTCCTTCAGAAGAGAGGATATGCAATGCAGTGTCTTCGTCCCATGGCTTGGACCGGAAAACTGTTTTAGAACAATTGGAGTTGAGTGTTAAAGATGGAACAATTTTAAAAGTCTCCAATAAAGGACTCAATTCCTACAAAGATCCTGATAATCCTGGGCGAATAGCACTTCCTAAACCTCGGAACCATGGAAAGTTGGATGGCAAACAAAATGTGGATTGGAATAAACTTATCAAACGGGCAGTTGAAGGCTTGGCTGAGTCCAGCGGTTCAACCTTGAAGAACATTGAACGTTTTTTGAAAGGTCAGAAAGATGTGTCTGCATTGTTTGGGGGCAGTGCTGCCTCTGTCTTTCACCAGCAGTTACGATTGGCTGTCAAACGTGCCGTTGGCCACGGCAGACTACTTAAAGATGGACCTCTTTATCGGCTCAACACTAAAGCGGCCAATGTGGATGGGAAAGAGAGTTGTGAGTCTCTTTCCTGTCTACCTCCTGTGTCTCTCCTTCCTCATGAGAAGGATAAGGTAAGTGTCATATGCATTAGCATTCTTTTATGACTGATAAAATAAGAGGATGCAAATACACATAACTGGCTGAGTGTATTATTATGTAACATTGGGATTTGGGATCTTTTTGCAGTTATCAACCCAGTGTTTTGTTTTCCTTGGGTAAGTTCTATGTGGGATCTTTAATAGATAATAATTTCTTTCCTGGCATTTGGAAATACTTAATTGTTAATACTCATTTGGGTAGTAATGATGGTAATATGATTCTGCCTCAAAATACACATTTTCCTGGGTATTTAGATTGTCATGAAAAAGGAAAACAAAACTTTAAAACTTTTGAGAAGTAGTTCCTTAGATCTGTTTTGATCTGGAAGATGAGCGCTAATCATTGAATACGGGAGAGTGAAGGAATTCTAAATCTGAAGCCTATGCTGAGTGTCATGCTTATACTGAAATTGTGACTGGCTCTCATGGCAAAGAGTAATATCTAAGGAAATTTTGCCTCTTGGTCATACTATAGTTTTCAATGTCAGTCTTAATAAGTATTCTGCTCTCTTTATCATGGTCTCTGTTACTGTGTTAGCATGTTTTCAAAATCCTGGTTTAATTGATGAGATAGTTAAATATCCTAGTGATTTGGAATTGCAATGGAAATATGTTTTTTTTAGTATTGATTTTTGCATTTCACACCAGCATAACTGAAAGTATATCTTCTTTGAAAGTGTATTTTATTTGTGAACATTTCAAAGATAACAATGTAGGGGTGATTTGAATTTGTTTCCTTAACTATATGTGTGTTTCATTTATTTTCCACATTGTTAGCTCCACAAACTGAAATCTTTTAGAATTTGCACATAACACAAATTAGTATAAAAAGTTTCATTTTACTTAAAACCTTGGAGACTGTCTCTAGGATCATTAAGTTAAAAACTGAATGAGTATAAAAATATCTGTGATTTGGCCTAAATTCATGCCAGGCAATATGGCCCACCATGTGCAAGTTTTTGTTTTTTTTTTTTTTGGCAAGGCAAGTGGGGTTAAGTGACTTGCCCAGGGTCACACAGCTAGTAAGTGTTAAGTATCTGGTCTGAGACTGGATTTGAACGCAGGTCCTCCTGATTCCAGGGCCGGTGCTCTATCCACTGTGCCACCTAGCTGCCCAAAGTTTGTTTTGTTGATTAATCTAAGCAGAATTAATTTTAACAGTTCCATTTAACCCTGATAGAATTTTCAAATCCATTCATGGTTCACTTCCCCCTTTACACTTTGAAGTGGCACCATTATTTTTACCTTATTTTAGCCTAAGAAATCAAACTAGTTGAATGAAAAATGGAAATGCTAAGTATCCCATTCATAATATTATAGTGAATACATCATTTGAACATGTGTTGAATATGTAGTAAAAATTCAGGGTGAGCAATGAATTGAAATATTTGATTCCATATTTCAGTGAAATAACAACTTTTCATATGTAAGAAGGATGGTCAAATTTGAAGAATGAAGGCAAAATTTAGATGAAGGAAATATTGAATACTACTATTGCCACCAAGTGATCCATATGTGGAAGTAATTTGTAGTTTGTCCATATTAATTTTTCAATCTGTGTTTCAACACGTGTGTGTTAATACTAGCAACAAAAGCAACTCTAGTTATGCAGATTAAATAAAAGTGGTGTTTATCTTATGAATTAGGACAAGAATGAGTCTTTAGAACCTAAAGGTTATAAAGCTAGAAGAGACTTTATGGATTATCTAATTCAACTTCCTCATGTTGTAGTTGAGGTCTCTTAGCTAGTGACAAAACTGAACAGAAACCAGTTTTTTTTTTTTTTTTTTTGCTCATTCCACTACATCCTGCTGTAGGTATTTCACAAATGGAGAAACTGAAGACACTGAGAAATTTATGGGATCAAAATTCTTATAGATTTGTTTTTGTAACTTGCTCAAGGTAGTGCACAGCTGAGGACAAGGCCTACAAATTATGATTCTGAGTCCTAAGTTCTGGGAATCAGTAGGACCACCAGGCAGAGAAATGAATAATCTTAAAAACTCATTATTGAAGACTGTATGGTCCTTGAGGGCCGGGACTCTGTCATTTTTCATCTTTGTATCCCCAGCACCTCATACAGTGCCTTCCATATGGTGGCAAACTCTTAATAATTCTATATTGAATTGAATTATTGGGAGTTCCCTTCTCAAGGGAAATATTCCATCAACTGAGTTTATATGATTTGAGTGCCTTTTTTTGCCATCTCCTTTCTCCTAAATCATCCTATTGCTGAGAGAACATTTAGAATCTCAGAGGACGTGGCTTTGGTTTCTGGCTCTTAAATTTGTTGGCTGAAGAACCTTAGGCAAGTCACTTAACTTTTCTGAGCCAGACTTTCTTCATCTGTAAAATGGAGATAACAACCCTCATTGGGTTGTTGCTAAGCAAATGTTTTGTTAATCTTAAAGTGCTATGTAAATGTGAGATAAAGCTCTGATATTGCTTAGTAGTCCTTGCAAAGTTTAACTTCGTAGGTAGGACTCATATTCATAAGGTCAAGCAAGAAATATTTACGCTTTTTTATATCACTTTAACACAATGTTAAATTCTGAGTTGACAGAATTTGGACATAAAAAATATTTCAAGTTGAGTAGGTTTTTGTGTGTGTGCAGGTCATTGAAAAACTAATTGTATAGAATGACAGAGTCTAGGAAATTTGGATTGAGGATATCTTTGATACTTGAGAGTCATTTTAACGTTTTTGATAGTGAATTTCTTGAATAAAATTTTCTTAGGGATAAAGAAAAGTTTCATTCTAAACGATAATGCAAAGTATTGTAGAGACTGTACCTCCTTCCCCCTTAGTAGATACATTTTCCCTCTTTCTTTTCTCTTATTGTAGCTGTTTTCTTCCTATCTTCCCCTTGAAGAAGTGTTATATGAAACTGTTTGGGACTCTCTTCAGAACCAAAACAATCGTCTTTGGATAATTATTTTGAGATGTGGAAAAAGAAAGGCATAAATGGGGAATGGTTAGAGTTAAAGCAAGGTATTACCTTCTCTGGAATAGTACTGCCTTATGTCAACTAGATAAAAGTATGGGATAATAAAGTTAAATGCAAGAATCATTCAAGTCGTCCTGCTACTAATGCAGAATTACCTGAGTAGACAGTTTTCATTTTTTCTCTACCATATAATGGTGATATTCTAAAAGTTCTGCTAATAACTTGAAAGCGTTAAAGTATTTGGGTTAACATAGTATAATTGAATGTAGATTTTTGGGCAGCAGAATGACTTTTTTCACCTTGAAATGTCAGTGTCCAGAAAAATTTCCTATTTTAAGTCATTTTCAGTATTCAGGGCTTTAGTATCATGTTCATAAATAGTAAGAACTTGCCTGACGATTAAAGAGTGATTTATGTATTTTAGGAAGAAAATTTCTGAGCTAGCTTTAGAGATTGATAATATATGTCAAGTTAATAGTTATTCTGTGTACTACTTACCATGGGATAATATTAACTGATAATTTATCTGTAAATGGATAATTACATTCCTTTGGCATCTATAGTTGATAAGCCATTTGTACTTTCTTTTCCCGTATTAAGTAACAAAATCAGGGTTATATTTAGTCTTCATGAAATTTTATATTTGAATATCTTCTTTCTTTGAAGATCATTTCTGCACGTTAGTTTTTATGATAGTTGCATTTGGGGGATTGGGAAGCATGATTTTAGTAAAGGACCTTTATTTCAGGTCCACCTTTTTTTTTTCTTATGTCCTAGGGAACCTAGGTTGTTTGGCCTCTAGTCATTTTTGGTTCTCTTTTTCTTGAACAAGTCCATTTTCTACTACTAAAAAGGTACATTCTCCTAAATGATGTGTACTTAATGTATATACTATAAAAAACAATAAAATACATGATTTTTTTTGTCTTCTGTATTTTTAGAAAACTGGTTCACTTTATAGATAAAGACTGCTGAACCCCCTTTGGAGGAGGTTGGGAGTGAAATTTTGTCTAAGTGTGTGGTATACTGGAAACAATATTGCAATTGAAGTTAGCAGACCTGGTTTCCACTCCTGGCCCACTCACCTGTGTGACCATTGGCATCTCAATTCATATATACTTTTTTTAATAGTACTTTGTTTTTCTTTACCACACTCTCCTATCTCCTACATGAAATATGTGGTAAGAGATGATTAAATGGCACATACTTATTTTTTCTCTGTCATAAAATTGTAGTGACTTTTTAAATGCAACAAACTTAAAATATTGATATGAGTATTTCTGCGTTTTATTCAGTCCAGAAGACTTTGACTCTTTTATTATAGTGTATCAAATCGTGGAATACATAGCTTACTTTTCTATAGCGCTTACACAGAGTACTTTGTTATAATAAACATGTGCCTACTCCAAGTATTATTATCTCTACTTTAACAGATAACAGAAACTGAGACACATAGTCCAGGTTATTTGATGTGCCAAAAGTTATTTAGTATCAGAGTCTGGACTGGAACAGATATCTTCTGACTCTAGGACCAATAATCTTTCCACTGGGGCATATTGTAAAGTTAGTTGATAAATGAATTCCTTGGAATAAAGTTTTATTTTGCTTAATTTTTCAACTGGAAAGGAGAATGGGGACAGAGATGTCCCTGCATAAAGTGTCGATTGGATTAGTTTTCTATTTGATTATTAGCAAAAAGATAATTCAGAGTCATCAAATACAACTTATACACCTATCGAATGACTTCTGTAGACTGTCCAAGGGGTGTAATTTTGTTGTATTGACTACTACTGCAAATAAGTTGACCATTGACTGGGGCTTAGGCCCCAGATTTTGATACAGTCATGTTTGTTGCAATGAGATTTGACTTTTAACTTATTGACAATTAAGAATAATAACCAAGGAATGTGAATCCTGAAGAAATTGATAGGGTTTTTGTTGTTTTTAAAAGCAGGCTGTTTTATTATTGACTTTATAGTAAACTTATTTCTCATGATCCATTACAAAAGCATATCTTAGGTAAGA